GGGTCATGCAACAACTGTCCTGTTTCACACCGTGTTGTGAACAGTGTGAAACAGTTTTGCTCTGGTGACCTGCAAACCAGTCTTTACACGATTTCAGAAATACAAAAGAATAATGATCTGCTATCATCAGGGGCATAAAATAGTTCAGAAGAGATCTGCTGCATGTTATGAGTGGGGCCAGCCTAGTCTAAGAGAGACCAGCCCCGAGTATTGCAAACATATGCCGCTCTGTAGCACCTGTCCTTCTGACCAGAGATCACTCCCAAGCTACCTTTCCATTTAATTATACAAAAATGCCAAAGCTGCCTCAGTGTCAGCTCTGAGAGGTGCTTAGACTTGTCTATCACTCTCTCTGGTAGAATGTATACTCTACATAACAGGAATTATGATAATTGGGAAAGTTATCTGGGCAAAAAATTGCACACTTCTGATACAATATTTTTCATCAATCTATTCAAAGAACTTTCCAAATTATGTAGCAAAGGAACAACAAATAATAGCTTTTTGAATAACCATTTTATCTGCAATGGTTCTATCTTATCATAATTTCTTAATTATGAAATGCTTCCAAAATAAGATAGTTCTATGATTTTCAGGTGTGTTTCCAAGTTTGTGTTAGTCTTGCCTTTAAATCTAGTTATTTATTTCCTCGCCCTCCCCCCTGCACCCCTCAGTATCTTTCTAAAACTCTAATCCTTCCTAGAGGTAAGAAGCCCCATATCTTAGATGTTTCAAGGTATCCCTGTCTTTTCCTGCTCTCTCTATTGCTTCTAGGGTTCAGCTGTCTCCTTGTGTAAGATATCAAAATTACTTAGGTTTTGTTTTTGAATCTGCTGTCATATCATACCGAAGGTGAGAAACTGCTTCCTCTGAAGATTAAAGCTCACTCAAGCAAACCTCAGCCTATATTAGTTTTAGAAACATTCCTGTGTCTGAATTAAAACGTAACTACACAGTAGCTTGCTATTTTTATTAAATACCTTACTCTCTGTGGCCTATGAAGTTAGCGACTGAATTTGGTAAAGCTGTTTAAATAACTAATTAGTGGCAGTCAGGTATCCTTCATTCCACTGTTGTGGGGGTGGAGGTGTTTGGGTTTTTTTAACATACAATTAGACCTTTATAGAAACCAGCATTGTAAAGAACTAACCATTATTATAGAGTAACTCTTTTCCATACTTAATATGGGGAAAAAAATTAGGGGTGATTTTCTAAAAAGCCATGCAATTAGAATTATTATGAAATTATTTTGTTTATCAACCAGTATCACTTAAGAAGCTCAGAAGGATGTGGGAAATAAACCCCCTGCGGATGCAGTGCTAAGAACACCTTTCTGGAAACTTGATATATTTATATTGCACACAAGCAAATAATAAACGTAGTTTGTCCTCTTCTGGGTCCTAAGTCACACGCATGGATTCTCTGCAAAGAAATTATCTGAAGACTTCCTCACAGGGTTGAGGTTTCTGATTGTTTGGTCCATGTCATAGTAGGAATTTCTCCCCTTGTAAAAAGCCTCTGCTGTACAAAATTAAATACAAGGCCATCTGGGCCCACGTTCTCTGTCTTTGACTGTGACACAGTATATTTTTTGTGAAATTGAAAAGCGACTAAAGTGTGAACCCATCAATATGTGCATGCCCTACCATTTTCTCATATTTTGACAGCTGCCCTTTGAAAAAACAGTTCTCTAAATTGCTGTTAATTAGAACGGGTAATCTGATAGTGTAATAAAATTCCCCCTGTCAAATCACAGATATTGTCAAAAATCTATTGCTCTCTAGAGTACTAAGCACTACCTCCAAGTTTTTTTGCTTTTTGAAATGTATTGTAAGGCACTACTGAGACTAAAACTATGTCAAAGCCCTTCTTATTGTGGAACTTTAATTTCTCCAAGACATGCAAGATAAAGCCTACCATATGGTACACTGGTATGTTAGGTGATGAAGAAAGCCTAGAAAGTATGTTCCCTTATTCATGCAGCAGCAAAATGAGACTTGAAGAGAAAACGCTAAGGAAGATTTATATAGCTTAATTCTTTGGCTTCAGAGAGACATGATCTGCTAGCTGGTAAGCATACCAAACAGCGTATTTGCAGCTTACTGCATATGCTGCCCAGGGAAATACAGTGCTCCTTTTAAATGGAGTAAGAAGATACGGCCATGAATTTATTACTTGTCTCCTGTAATTTACCAATACAACACTATTTGAAAGCAACTGAAACTTCTCCTTAGAATAAATTCTCTTTATGCCTAGTTCTCAGTCACTGTGCCCAGATTTTTATTGTGCTATATGTCACTATAATCTGAAGTTCAGTGTTTATGTGAATTGCCATCGTAATCTCAGTTGCTGAGATTTGGTTTCTCAAGTCACACAGGAAAGAAATTTGCTGTGTGAATTAAAGTTCATGTTTTAGCTTCCAGCAAAATATGATTTTTAATTCACTAAATTGGTTCAAACTAGGAATGACAGAACTTAAGATGTCCACAGTTTAAAATTTCTCCCCCTTTATGAACAATTGCATTGTTTCCTTTTACAGTGGTTTTAATACCACTTAGTTGTGGGATTTTTTCAAAAGACAAATACAAGATTTTATCTAAATGTGTGAGGTGCTGTCCATTGCTTCACCGTGTAAGGGGAGGAGTGAAGTGGACAACAGTAACTGAGCTTAAAACCTTCTCTTTGGATGTTTGTCCTTCACGTGCGCCCACCCTTCACTCACTCTCCCACATTCTTAGGAAGAATACATTAATCATTTTGCGTTTCCAGTTGTTTTTCTCCTGAGAAATGACTGGAGCGATGCCCTTTATGTTTGGAGAATTTGGAGGCAGTCTGGTGTAAGTCAGTACATAACAAAAAGATGATAGCACTTAGTAGAGTGGAGAGAGAGAGGCAACAGCTGTGGCTGTAGAGCACAAGGAGCCTTTTTGCATTAGAATCTAAAACATGAATGAAGATTCTCACAGTACATATTATCTGTTTAAAATCTTCTTATCGTGGAGGTTAGTAACATAAGGAAAACTTGTTGAACAATGCTGATGTTTTTAGGAAGAAATGTTTCTTAGATCTTTCCTCTAATTAAAACAAACAAACAAACAAACAGAGGGGGGAACATCTTAGAAGTTGATCTTTGTTTATAATGTTATCAGAAAAAAATGTAATATGCCAAGGAAATTGCAATTAAGACAGTTTCTAACATGTTGATGCAAAATGCCACAGTAATGAATTATTGATGAGTACTCTATACGTATTTTCTTAATTTATTTTCTTTATTATTAATGGTTTGTTAAGGTCAATAATACTTTTTTGTCTTCATTAGCTTCAGCTTTCCTTTTGCTCTTCTGTAGGTTCCTCTTTTCCCATTTTTTTGGCTTTTCTTCAAGCTCATCTTTAAAAGTTTTGACCTGCTACCCTGTGACATGGAATTCCAGGGTTTTCATCCATGTATATAGTTGCTTGCCATAAATAACTTTCAGGAGATCTTAAGGTCCTGTGTTTTACTAAGCAATTACCTCATCTTAAAACTGAGTTTGTTTCTTAGTTTTTCCAATACCCTTTCACTGTTTCTAACATACTAAAATACAAGTGACCATCCGTGCTACTTAAACTGTTAGAATGTTTTTAGCCAAATGTGGCCCTTTCCAACTACTGTGCTCCCCAAATAATCCCTTGGCATGTTTCAGCAGTTAGAAAGGGGCAGAAAGCATTTCCAGTCAGCAGTTTGCATGCAGCCTACCCTGGTTTTGGACTTCTAAGAAGGTTAGCTATGAACTAGCTGCCCTTGGCTCCCATCAACGCACGTAGATATGGCTTGTAGGTTCTATGCATGGTTGAGATACTGCCTTGCTGCTTTCATAATGTAATGAACATATATCATATGAAACAGGATTAAAGCTGCACATTTAAGAGCATTAAAATAAACCATGTCTCTGAGTCTCCTACCTTTTTTCCTCTTCAGACTTTTGTTTGTTCTGAGGAATTGCACCTATCCGCTCATAAAATAAAACGCACTTGAAGTTGTATCTAAATTCTGACAGTCATGCTGCAAAGTTTTTCTAGAGCCATCGTGTGAGACTAAGACTACATAATGAGAAGTCAAAAGCCAAAAAAGGAAAGCAGAAGCAAAGGAACAGGGTTAGGGACAGGTCTGTGACCTGCAGTCAGGGGATGGGGTGAAGGAAGCCAGGATGGGTTGCAGCTGAGGTAAACCAGGGGTTTAAATTTACTTTGTAAATTTAATACAGTCTAATAATGTGTTTGAATTAAGGATTAAATGAACATTTTAAATGTTTGCTAGAATTTTGATACAGCATCACTAGTCAGTGGAGTCAGAATTTTTCATTTCTTTTCCTTCCAAAGAACATTCCGACCAAATAGAATCCTTCTATGCTTTATTTTTCTTGTCTGTAAATTAGAAATAATAATACTTTCTCTTATTTAAAGATGCAGGAGCTAAATGAATGGAGAGTAATACTGTGTAGTCCTTATTATTGTTTGTGGGAATTTTGCAGGCACTTATTTTGGAAGTGCAGCATGTTCTTTTTTTAATGTCTGTATTTTTTCCAATCTTTTAGGATCTCAGCAGCAAGGACATGAAGAGAGATTTGTACATAGTTGCCCATGTAATTCGAATAGGTACAGTATGATTTATTACTTGAAATATATGCAATTAACAATGTTTTTACAGTATTTTTAAATGTATGTTTTACTTAACTGACATGATAATGGTTTAACCAGTCATAGACCATGCCTATCTGCTGAGATTAATATTCAGACCATACGTAGCCAAGTGTTAAAAGGTTACTGATGACTGTATAACAGTGTTGTTTTTTTTTTCTCAGTCTGAAACAAAATATTTGATTAAACACCACATTTGGGGGAGGAGGGAGGAACTAAAAAGCTTTTTGTTTAATGTTCCAAAATTTCAGATTAGGTCTTTTTAATGATGATATATAGCTAGTTTACAGGGCAGGACATCAGCATACTTGGCCATTCACATCTAGTAAATCAGAGGCTGTTAGACAAGTATATATAAAGATCTGTTTTCTGCTGTAGGAGTCTGCAGTGCATCCAAGAACCCACACCCAAGTTTAGGGAGATGCCTATAAAACATAAGAGCAGGGAAGCTGTCACACCTATCAGATGTTCTTTCTACCTGCTGATGCCAAAAAGGAGCATTAGCAGCAGTACCTGCCTGCTGGAAGCCTGTCAGGCTTCATCCCAACGTTTAGCAGCATACACTTGCTTCTTTCCAGGTTCTCTTGGCTGCTTGCATAGAGCTATCTAAAGGAGAGATCTGGATGCGTAGTACCTAAACCTGACCCTACCCAGGGAAGAAAGCCTGTCCTTGCTAATTCGCTTGAGTGGTCACCCTTTATAGAGCAGGTTTCTCTGACTATTCGTAAGCTAGGATAGGTTTCATTTATTCTTCTTGAGATTTGCAGTAGCAAGAATGGAAAATGTTTATGATTGAAGTTGAATTTAGAATGTGTCTTATACGGTATAGTACAGTGCTCAAAGTAGTTCACGAAGAGCTAGATGAATTTTTTAGCCCAGCAGTGTGTTTAAGTGAAGTGACTGTATGACGCCTGATACATGAATTAAATTTCTGGAATCTCTTCTAGATGGAAGTTGCCGGATAGAAAAAAACCTCTAGTGAATAAGGATCTAATTAGTTAGTAACAGGGAGTTAAATGATTCTAAACTATGAATGTGTGTACTCTCACTGAGAAATTGGCAAGCAAATATTTACCTATGTTAAGTATAACTTATTTCAAATATTTAAGCCTAAAACATTAACAACATATAGTAGGAATAACAGACAGTCTCTTCAGTTGTGTTATTCTAAACAATGTAATAGTGCACTGTCTTTCATGTTTTCCAGGTTTTCAGTTAACTGAAAAATGGCTAGGTAGTGTTTGCAATGAAAGGGTATTTAAACCTATTTCCAGCCCATTCACTGCCAGCACCCATTACCAGCCACAGATACCTTTTCTGAAGTACAGAAGGTCTAAACAGCTTAGTGAAACCATAGCTTTGTTGTGTTGTCCTATGAATGACGATATGCCTTCTAAGTCACAAATGTGTTAGAAGATTTTTCATTATCTGACTTCACTGTGTCATAAAGTAGTTAAACGTTAGAATTACTCTGTATCACTTGAGATGATAAATGAAGCTTGTAGAAAGATATGATGTAGTTCAAGCTCAGATTCTTAACTTGATGCAAGAAGTGCTGGACAAATTATTATGTGTAATGTTACAAGTTGGCTTAGATTATCATAGTGATTTTTCTGGTCTTGGCATTTTTTACTCTATTAAAAAACTGCTTTAGCAATAGGAAGTTAATCATTGAGCAGCTTTGTATCTGAGAATTCTCCTTTATGCACTCCAAGACAAATGTGATAAATGACACAATGTATTATACATTCCCTTAAAGCAATTGTATAAAGTGAAAATTTGTGTAAGTACTGGACTATAATGGAAGGACCACGGTGAATCTTTGTGTGAATGCAGAGAGGTGAATACAAGCCGTATTCTTGGCTCATCCAACAGATGATTTGTAGTCAGCCTAGCTGGATACAAATACGTGTCATGGGGCTGCAAATCAAAGATGGCCAGACATGATGCTGTTCACTTTGCCCTTGAGTGTTCTGTTCGCTAAATGAGGTGATGCACCTTAATCAAAGTATCCCAGTGGGTCAGGTAGGTTCAAGTGGACCTCTGGATTTGAAACTGTGTAAGAAGAAAAAAGAGTGAGAAGTATAGGAAAGACTGCAAGCCGTAGCTGAAACTTTCTGTAGGTATGCATACTCAGAGGGATAATAGAACAGAATAGACAGAATGGCTGCATGTGAATCTCTAATGTTTTAAATTTCTGTTAATTTTAGGTCGCATGTTGCTAAATGATTCAAAAAAAGGGCCCCCTCATTTACACTATCGCCGCCCCTATGGCTGTGCAGTATTGAGTATCATGGATGTACTTCAGTCAATCTCTGAAATAAAAGAAGAGAAGGATTTTGTTCTCAAAGTTTACACGTGAGTAACTCCTAGAAGGGAAAGAATTAAGAAAAGCACTGTATATGTTGGGTGATGAGATACTAAAGAGATATTAAATATCACGATGACATAAACTGCATTTGCTGCTTTATCCTCCTCACAAGGTAAACTATTGCTGTTGGCACTGGTTTTTGCTCCTTTATTATTCCAGAAGCTCATAGAAACTAATGAATATTATCACAGATGTTTCAGGTATGTGAAGTGCTTCAGAAATTATTTAATATTGCCCAAATCTATGTAACATGCAAAGCTGCACTTTTATTAATATGATTTATTTTAAATCTGCTAAGCTCAAAACCAAAGAAAAAGGCTGTATATCACCTGATGATGGGCATAGTTACTCACGCCTCATCTCCTATTCCTTATCAGTCATGGTGACCAACAAAAGAAGTAGGAAAGAACTGAAATCAACAGTGTGTGACCAGAAAACAAGTCAACGTATTTTGAGCAAGAATCTGCCTTCAGTTGTTTGTGATTTTGAACTTTGAACTAACAAATTCTTATTATGAAATGTGGTCTCACAGTTGTAATAAAGAGGCCATAGACAAACTGTCTGGAGATTGCAAGGAATATTTAAATCTCTTGTCAGTGAGGATAAATACTGGCAAGATCTGATTTGCAGATGGGCTGAGATACAGCTGACATTACTTTGTGGTCTGTGGCCACTATCCGAGTAATAAGATAATTTGGGAGGGTTACAGAACTTTGTTATTCTTTGACAAGTGCATTCAGCAGCAGAAAATCTGACATTCAAGGGAAACTATAAATGACAAAATGGCTTTCACTGAAAGGTTCTTGGATATCTCTTCATACATTAGAAATCTGTAAGTCCAAAGAAAAGTCTCTCAGAGTCAGCTCTTCATTCTTCCTTTGCCAACAGTTATGAAAACTGTAGCAAAAATGTCAAGTTAGAGGGAAGAAAATGGTCTTCTTTCTTCTCTTTGCCAACCAAATCTGGATAATGTTGGCATTTTGTCACCATTCAGTTTCAGCTTAATCAAAACAGTGTTTTTTGGTTATATAGTTTATGTTAATACTGGCCTTGTAGATATGTGTTAATATATTGCAACTGCAATATTTTGAATGTTTACAGTAATGGAACATTCTGAATATCAGATTTCTGTTTTCATGCCCTTTTAATGCATCTTTAGCATCTTATTCACTGAAAAATAGGAGGAAAAAAAAAAGCTTTAAAATATTGGACTTCTCCATTTGTCAGTGACAAATAAAGTCATGCAGCCAGGTAGAGCAATCCAAAGTCCTAGTACTATGATCAAAAAAATCACAGGATAGAGAGCTTTCCTTCTTTTCTGCTTAATCTGAAGTGTTTTGTAAATGTGGATTCCCTTCACGCCACCCAAAGTACCAGCTCTATCTGCCTAAATGTTTAAGTAGGTTCGTACTTGCTGCTGTTGTTCATGGCTGCTTCCCCACACCCTTTGTTTTTAACATCCACGCACGCCCGTTACTGCCTTCCCAGGGAGGAAGGAGAGCCCATAACAGAATTCAGCTCTGTAATCAGATGCTTGTATTTTTTATCACTATATTATCATTCACTTGAGTTGTTACAAGTCTTGTACATCATTATTTTATGCTACTGCTGTTTAGAGTGTTCTCTGTAAACCTCCAACAAAAATCTTCAGAAGGGAAAATGGATATATCTAAAGGGCACCAGCTTTTTGCTTTTGCAGCTTTAATAGCTGTTGGTCTTCCATGACAGAATGTTTTCACAGGTTTATCTGCTTGCATCTTCTCTTTGCACATTCTTTTAGCTAACCTACCTTTTCTTGCTTTGTAGACTAAAATTGAAATGACAGATTTTTGTCCTTTGTAAGTTTAAAATTGTATATGGATGCTTAAACAACGCTGAACTGATTTTCTTACCTGCTGCTCTCATTTTGATTATGGTTAAAATGCCTCAGGCCAACCCAAAAACATCATAAAGATGAAATAAGGAGCAGGGTGTGTTTGTATTTTTAAAGGAACAGTAAAAAGCATTCTTTTTGTAGCTATCTGGCTAAAGGTAAAGCTTATAGCTGCCACAAATGAGGCAGTCAGCATAGAGCCAGAAAAGCCTTTTCACGGGGAGAAGCTGAAAAAAATTTGAGAGACTGAAAACCTAACAAAGGCTGAAACAAATGCATGGTGTTTCAATGAAGACTTTTGCTGGATCCACAAGAGAGAATACTTAAGGGAAAAAAAAATTAATTTACTTCACCAGTCTTCCTTGGCTTGCCTTATTATTGTTAAAGATTTATGTCTGAAAAATACTTCTTTCTCAAAATCCAGATTTTCCTGTTTTTTAATCCTGCAGTCATGTTATAATCTTACTAAGAGGATATAGTACCACAGCTCCAGTTATAAGCTCATTATGTAAAAGCATGAAGGTTTACTTTTATAATTCTTGTTAATAATATACATGTAAAATAATTTAAAAGTGAGATGGAAACTAAATTCTTGATCCATTCTTTTCTCTGAGATCACTTGATTTAATATTTTTATATGAATATTTGTCTTTAATGGAGTTTTTCACTCATTGAACACTACTCTCTGTGTCAATCTTCCAATTCCACTAAAAACTCCATGTATTTCTATTTCATACTATCTTTTTCAGTTTTATTTTTCATTCTTTTTTCTCTCAGTCCTTTTTTTCCCCCTCCTTCTCCAGCACTAGCTCTTAGAATTCCTACCTCTGAATGTGGTGTATTGTCTGAATGCCTTTCCCTTTTCATATTCAGTTGTTGCTATTTGCCCAGCTGGACGAGAGCATACATTGCATTTCTGTCCCCATCTGTCTGACATCAGGGTCTGATGTCGTATGCCAAACATTCCAAATGGTAAATTTACTGTAGAACCAGCCAACCTGAAAAGGTGATGGATGGCTCAGGAGAAAATTCTTATTTAAACTAGAAATATATTTTGTAATATATTTGGTATTTAGACAAGTAAAACATTAACACGTTAAAATGCATTGCAGGCAAGTGTTTTCAGGCTAGCATTTCAAACTTGGGAGAATATTCTCCTTTGTGTTCAGGAAATGTAAAGTGCAGCTTACATTGTTAGTTGGTACAAAACTAGCTTTAAGCTATCTTCAGAGTTTATTGGTTTTGGAATAACTTTGTTCCAGGTTAATTTGTAGGCATAAGTCATTGGAGGCTGAAATCTATTTTAACTTGCACTCCAGAGGCTGGTACAGCAACTAAAAAGTTATCAGAGGCTAGAAATTTTGTGTAGTCTCAGCTGTGAGGATGGAGGATGGTATAGAATTTGTCCTATTGGTTATCTTTGGGAATATCATTTGCAGTAGGGTAAATTACTTGGAATGTCTTGGCAAGAGAAGAGAAGTAAACACAAATATGATTCATAAAAAAATGTGAAGATAATTTTTTTTTTCCTGATGAGTAAGCTGAATATTGATTAAAGTTCAGAGCTAGCACAGAACACCACAGTTATTGAAAGGGTTTTTGTAGTGTCCATTAATGTCTTAGCTCTGTTGTGGTTTGGTTTTGAGAGATTGTTTTGGGGAGCGCAAATGTAGTCAATTTGCCATACTGTTAAGTTCTGGAAGGTCCCTTCAGTGCTGACCTGTCTTGAGTTACTGTGTGCACATCTGATCTCTCCTCCCAAAAAGGATATAGTAGTTACAGAAGGTATGGAGTAAAGCAACTAAAATGTTTAATAACATAGTTGTTATTTTATGAGAGAGATTGAGAAGGTGGGAAGCTTCAGTTTGAAGAGGAGAAAAGTGGTGGTGGAAAGGGATATGACCAAGACTTAAAAAATCATGGTGGAGGGTAAACTGTTGTTCACAGAATGCAATAGTAGAAGAATTAGGGATGCTCTGTGAAATTGGTAGAAGGTGACGTTAAAAAAGATGGAAGAAGGTACTTCTTTAGAAAGTAGGTAATGATCTTCTGGGTTTTATTGCCACAGGATGTTGTGAAGACAGGCAGTATTAGCAGGTCCAGAGGGGATTAGACAAGTTTATGAACAACAGGTCCATAAACAGAGGAATAGGAACAGACAGGGATGTACACTCCTACATCCCTAATCCAGCAACCCTAGGGCAGGGTACGTGAGCCTGACTGCTCATGTACCCTGCCCAAGCAGCATCTCCTATTGCCAGTGTGGGAAGCTTTTTTTTATGTTCATACGTTCTTAACAATCAGCTGAGATGTCTGATACCTAAACCCATTGCAGTGAAAGGAGGAATGTTGAGATAGGTGGAGCTAAGATTTCAGGTGGGATGATCCCAGTCTAGCTGCACCAGATAACCTAGGAATATGGCCTGATCCGTGTTTTAATTATATGAATATTTTTGGATAGCACACTGGGAGGAAGTAAGTCTTATGGGGTTTTTTCCATTTTTTCCTTTTTTACTGTCTGTACTTCATGTTTAATTTATTCAAGTTTTCTTTGTTCCTTTTGCTTTTATAATAATCAACAGTTGCAGGGGGTGTCAGTAAGTGTGCCATAACAAGCTTTGTGGGTTATCTCGTTATTCTTGAAAGTATATAGTTTTGTAATACTGAAGCTGTAGAAAATTACCAGCTACTACTTGTTCTAGATAGCCTTAATTCCTTGTTAAAGATTTATGTCTGAAAAATACTTCTTTCTGGTTAATTCCTTTTACCATGCTATTCGTTAGTTACATAATGCAGCACACAAAAATATCCCTACTGTAGCTGGTTTGTATCTTACCCTAATTTTGCCAACATTATGTACTCTTGGAGGGAAAGAAAAAAAAGGGAAAAAATGTTAATATGCTCAGGAGAAGTTTTACAAAGTGACTTATTTCTCAAGACTCCTGTCTTGCTGTGAGCTGAAGGCTTATAGTCTTCATTTCTTTTTTTTCTTCTTTTTTTTAAACTTCTAGGAGTCAGTAGGACAGAAGTTTAATTTAATCATTTAATTCAATTGCACTTCAGGAGAAATAAGATTCGCTATTGCTACTGAGTTAAAAATTGCTCTACTTCATGGGGAATCTTTAAATCTTGCAGTTGTCATTTAAATAAAACACAGTTGAATTTAAAAGACAATTGGACTTGATTAACATACTGTTCTTTCTTTTTTTCTTTTCCTTTTTTTTTTATTTTTAACCAATAACACTTTTGTGGTAAAGGTTCTATTTTTGTTTTTCAGTCAGATTATTATACTGGTAAAATTGTCATTTCAGCTGTGCTTACATTAGCGTAAAGTACTTCGTAACATTTATAGAGTGTCCCTTCATTATGTGGTAACAAGCTATATAGCACTGATGGCACTTTCTTCCTGGCACGATTCCGTTCAAGCTTAGTGAGTTCACCAGGTTGGTTATACAGCTTTACACATACTAGTGCAAATAAAGTCATGCAACTTTGATGTTAATAAGAATCCTGATTCAGGTTGATAGGGACCTCTGTAGTCCAGCCTCCTTCTGAGAGCAAGGCCAGCTATGAGACCAGACCAGGCTGCTCAGGGCTTTATCCAGTTGTGTCTCAATAACGTCCAAGGATGGAGACCGCACAGCCTCTCTGGACAACCTGTTCCAATAATGCCTGACTGTCCTCATGGAAAAGCTTTTTCTAATATCCAGTCTGAACCTTTCTTGTTTGTGCTTATGCCTGTTGCTTTACATCATCTCGCTGTGTACCACCGAAGAATCTGGCTGGCTCTTTTGTCTTAATAACTGCTTGTAGGCCTTGCTCTTAATGTTCCCCTTCTTGTCTTGTCTTCTCCAGGCTGAAAAAGCTGAGGTCCCTCAGCGTCTCCTCCTACAGCACATGCTCCAGCCACCTGCCTATCCACATGACTCTCTCCAGTTGTCTGTTTTGTATCAGAGAGCCCAAAACTGAGCACAGTGTTCTAGGTGCAGACTACCAACCACCAAGTAATGTCTTCTCCCAATTGACAATAGAAACATATAAACAAATACTAGTTAAATATTAAAATGTTGCGTAAACAGTAATTTACAAAATACAGCTCTGAATACATCTTATCACTGGAGAAAGTTTTCTCTAGCTTTGGATCCTAAAGAAAAGTGTGGCACTTCTGACTCAGGTGCTCTTTTTCTGTTTCCTGCTTTGCTGGCTCTCTGATCACGTGATGATTTTTTTGTGAGTTATCATTAAAAGGTATCTGTATTTCTCCATGACTGGAAAGGAAACCGAAACATCTGTTTCTGGTGCTCTCAGCTATCTCTGTCACAATGTAATTTCCAAATGTTGCAGTGTCCCTAATTTCTCTCTCCAGAATCTTGCCATCGGAGTAATGAGAGTATCTATAGAGATTTAAAGAGGATTTTTTTCTTTTTAAATGTGGCTCCACTTGAAAATATTTATACATAAAGCATGGAATAGAGCAGTAAGAGATACTGGTTTTGACTTTCCACTACACAGTTACACAGTCTGATTTTATTGTGATGGAATAGTGTCATGCTGCAGTAGAGAGCATAGCTCCATGCCCCCAGGTCCAGCCAGGCTCAAGGCTGAGCCTGTATTCCACATGCGCACACACACACAATACATACACATACAGCCGGCCACGCAGATCAACGCAGGCAGAAAGTACACACTCGTACAAACACGTACAGCACCAAAGGCCTCATCCTATTTTCCTCTCTGGTTTATCAGGGTAAAAACTTGTTAGTGGAAAACATGTATACATACACGCTACAAATCCCTCCAGTCCCTGGTTTTAGACGCTCACTTCAGGCACAGGGCATGACCAGACAAGCATACTGACAGCAACCTATTTACACATGACTGGGCCATTTTATACCCTTAAACCTCTATTTCCACAAAATGCTCTTCCCCCACATCCCATTATCACCAAGGGCAGTAAGCCATGTCAGTCTTCAAAGCGATCCAGAGAGCCTTTCTGGCTGACTCATCTTGACGGGTTTCGCACCTGGGCAGTGTGCTGAACATCCTCCTGCGGCAGCCTTGGGAGGAGCAGGGTCGGGGTGCTGTGTTTTCTCTGATGAGTTGTCAGGCTTCCCCCACCTGCCATTGTTCCTCTTCTCCTTTTTAAAAATGATGAGCCTTTAACTGCATAACCTAACAGGAAAGATATCTTGTCACTTCGGTCCTAGAATTTTATTGAGGATTTACAGATGGTAATGTAACTGAAAAGGAAATATAACAGTATTTACAAATGCTTATTAAAATTACATATAGATGAATAAACAATTGTGAAATGCTCCTTCAGAAGATGATATACATACAGAAGCATGCTTTGTGTTGTTTTATATTCTTGCCCTACAATTTGGGGGGGCTGTTGCATCATGTTTCAAGGTGTTCTGTAAAATATGTAGGTAAGCAAAAGTCTTGTTGTAAGTGTCTGAGATATTAAAAATCAAGGTTTTAGTTAGTCTTTCAAATTTCACTTTTTATTTCTTGGTTCTAACTTTTTTTTATTAAGCACAAAAAGGTAATATATGGCAACAGTTAATTTCAGCTCAAAATTAATTTTCTACATGAAGAGAATTCAACTAAAGATGTCCAGAGCTTTCTTCATTCTGTCATAATGAGAAGAGTGAAACAATGGCTTTGATGACAGAAAAGTCACCACAGCCTCCAAAGTGTCCAATAAAAAGGAGATAACTATTAGGGAATGCCTTGTTTCCTTCCACTTTTAAAAACAAGAGTTATGGGGGATTTCTCTCATTCATCAAAACCCCACAACCTTTCATGTTATCTCTACAGCAAAGTTGACTTTCCTGCCCTAAGATGGTTCAGCGGAAAGCTTTTAACTTGAATTAGTGTTCTTTTATTTTAGGTGTAACAACGAAAATGAATGGTGCCAGATCCATGAAAATATTATTCGCAAGTCCAGCACCAAATACACAGCACCCAGCTCAAACTACGGTAAATATTTACTTGTACATTTTTTTCATAACAACAGATGAAGATTTACTTTAGGAAACTGCTAATTATTTATAGCAGAGAAATTCAGTGAGATGTGAGATTATGCATAGCTGAATTTCTCTACTTGTGGTGATTTAAAAGTTTAGCTAAAATTCGTTCACGTTCGGTTTACAGGTGAAAATCTGTATTGTGTCTGCCAGATTAACCAGGAAATAAAAAAACCCCACGCCTGATCTCTTTCCTTCTCAGATATGGCTGACAATAATATTAATTCAGCATGCTAAATTTCCTTTGTCAATATATCTGTAGTGTTATTTTGGCTCAAGAGAGGTCAGCAGTGGAGAGAGCTAGTGGCCTGCTACAGTATTAGCTTACTCTGTGAGTCTTCCTTTATTGGCTGTTACAGTTACTGCATATATCTGTGCTTGTGAAAACTGCTAGCCCATGGGGGGGATACAACAGAAGCCGCAATCGGCTTGGCAGAACTCCTTTAAAAGTTTTTTTTGTGAGACTGCTTTAAGTTACTGTGACCAGACTTGGCTTCACAGGAAGCAAAGAATTTAAATTTTATTCATCAGAACTTCCCTGCATAAAACTGTCTTCCTTTTCATCCTGTATTCCCTTGAAAATTCCAGGAAGAGCACATATCTAAGGCTTGCTCTCCTGAGGATACCATGCATCCTTGTCAACAGAAGCGAAGCCAGAGGTTAAATTTGTCTGACGTATTTGTCTGACTGTTCAGAAAATTCTGACTGTCCAGAAAATGAGCAGTGTTTTTGTACCTACAAATTAATTATCAAGAAGACTCTGTGAGAGTTTCAGTACTAAATGTTTTATTAAGTAGTTGAGGAGAATAACTGTCTTGGCAGTTTTTGCCACCTTTCAAATCCGTTTTTATTTTCCTAGTTGAAGATAGATAAATATGGAAAGTAAATCATGTCCTATCTTGTTACCTCATTTAATGATTTCTGTAGTTTGCTAGTTCAGAGATATCATTATTATTCCATTCCAAATGAACAAGCCGATAGCATACAGTTCTGCTTCATTATAGCTAGTTTTGCATTCATTACCGAGTGCCTGATTCATTGGCATACTGATGTCCAAATACTGATATTGTCTTAATTTCCCTTGTTTGAGATATTGTAGTGGAATATGCAGTTCACACTCCCATAGAAGATATTAAGCACAACAATAAGCAAATAAAACAGTTTTCAGGTTTGGAATTTACTTATATGCAAAGTTGGCCTCCTTCCCTGCTGTTCCTCCTGTTACAGTTAAGGTCATCCACCACTTATCATTAAAACATTTTCCTGAATTGTTTGTAACTTTGAAAACTTGCACTGTTTGCAGTTATTTCCAATGCCAGGTGTCTGCCTACAACTTTTTTTTTCCAAGCGTGAGCTTTTTTGAAGAGCAGAAAGGAAGGGAAATAGATAGCTTTTTACCCTTGCCTTTGGCTTTTTAAAATAATTATTTCAAATATTTCATTAAGATCTAGTGCATCTCTGGAACAGGAGGTTGAAACTTGGCAGAGGTCTTGTCCTGGTGGGAGGGGCTGTATTGCAGGCTGACATGATTTAAGCATAGGTAATACAGTTTGGGCCTCTCAGAACCTGCTCTTACAGTGAGAAAATGCTCCAGTCACAAGTGTGATTTATCCCTGAAGAAAAACTCTCTGGTGGTTTCTCTCCCCACCTTCCCAGGTCTTCTGTAAAATTAGTTCTTCAGATCTGCTGCAGGAAATAGAAAAAAAACTGGAAGGATAGACTGGGTAGAAAAAGAGGATGGGAGAGTAGATTTACAAACCTCTTGGGGAGAGCAAGAAGCTAGGCAGAAGTTTTTGGGGGTGGAGTATGTGGGAGGGTACACATAAGTAATATATGTAATACCATGCTGGACAATTACATATTCTATTACCTCTAGTGACTGATTTTTATAGATAATAGATTAATTCTGATGCTATTTGTTAAGTACTGGGTGTGTTGGGTATGGGTAGGTCTGAACTTCCAAATTTGCTCCAGTCCTTTATGCTGGAATTTTTTGAATTTATTTTCATTTGTTTGTTTTTAATAGCAAAAGAGGATATAAAATGAGCAAGTTTTTCTGTAAGTGGCAAAAATAGTCAAGACTGATTTCTAATGAACTCGTCTCCTGTGTTCTGTTAAACCTTTTGTAGCGCATGCACACACAGATGTACACTCATACATGGTATTCAAAGGGTCTGAATTTTTTCCATGGTTATAAAGCCTCTGTTTTTCCTGCAGTGCTTTGCAGCGCTCTTCTGCCTACTTAGCCCGGACAGTTGCAAGTCTCTGTTTTGGCAGCTTTTGAGTACCTACATGCTGATTGTCCAGCTGGCTGGTTGGCCTCCCTTTTCCTTCGTTTTAAGGCTTTATGTTCTTTTTTTTCATCCCAACTCCCAGTATTAATAAAGCTTATACAATCTTCATATTATCTAGATATCTACTTATTTGCCAAATTTGGCTGAAGCCAAACAACAGGCTTGAAAATTATTTCAAGGGAAGAGAACAGAAACTGGGTGGGAGGTACATGATATTACTGGTTTCATTCCCCTAGTGACCTGTCTAACAAAATGGCGACTAACTGTTGTTCGCAAAGCTAACATATTAGGCTTAGGAAATAGCAGAACATTAGGTTGGCTCATGCAAGAATATGCATACAAGGCAGTGTTTGCTTTCATATGTGTTGTTTCAGTGAGTGAACAGAGAGGATAGAAAGAAATATTGACTATCATTCACTGAATGAGATAAAGATTGTGGAAAATTATTATGTGAACGTAATTCACATTGATACCTGAAGCTGGTAATGTATGCTCAGCAGATGAAACTAAGCTTACATGGTTGAGCGTAATCCTGGCGTTTTCTGGTATCTTAATGCTTGACTTTGTAACTTTACCAATACATTTTCCTCATTTTAGGGGTGTAGTATGCTATAAATTAAAAGCAACTTGAGAAAGCAGTTGGACTGAGGTTAACTGTGTAATTATTCCTAGTCAAGCTATTCAGTTGATATATTGAACAAGGGGTCGCATTAAAAGAGCGAGTTGCTCTTTTCTTACTGTTGTTTTCTGAAGTCAGTTTGACCAGTTGGTACTCTTGAAACATGTTGAGGTACTGAAGGGAATTTCATTAAAATCAGTATTCTTGTCTGAAGTAGTTAAAGAAACAAGTGGAACAGGTACACTTTGAGATTTTTTTTTTAATGGTATTAAGTGGGATTAAAGGCGCTTTAGAGATGTTCTACGGCATTGTGTGATGTGGTCATTCAGATGGAGGTGGCACTGCTCATACATGTGTTATAACCTGCTGTATGTGAGAAACAGAAATAATGCTAAGTAGTTTACAGTAACTTGTGACATCTCTGTGAAATGAAGTATTCTGATTTTTAAAAATTGTATTTTTATGTAATATTATGCTCTTAACTGATCCCTTAAAGCAGATTTGTTTCTTCCATTTCACTTTTACATTACTCCAAGGGAGGAAAGAATTCTGTATTTATATATTTGTATTCAATTAACCATGGAGCAAAGCATTATTTTACCTGCATGCCTTGTATACACAGACATCTAATTCTTAGGTCTGAAAAAAATGAACATCTTTTTTTTTTTCCAGGACTTATAATATCTCTTCAGCTTCTACGTGGCGACATGGAGCAGATTCGAAGGGAAAACCCCATGATCTTTAACAGAGGCGTTTCTGTTACCAGGAAGCTGGGTTTTCCAGATGTTATAATGCCAGGTAAACATAACAGCTCTAATCTTAAAATATTGGTCATTTTTTTTTCTCATACTCTTCTAGACAAGTGTCACTGCAGTGGGCACTTTACTCGAAGAAGATTAATAATAGAAGAGTTGCCTTATTTATCACTAAATGCCAATTCCAGATTCAGGGAGGCATGCTAAAACATGTTAATCAATGAACATTATAGTAATAGAAGGTGTTAAATTCACATGTATAGAAGGTGGTCTGGAAAGATTGCTTTGATATCCCCCCGCCCCAAACCCCCAAATAGATAACCCTCATGTGTGCTAAGCATAGAGATGTTTCTTTTAAAATGAATGGAGTTTCTTCTTCCAAATAATCCAAAGCCTGGAAAAAGAGTTTCTGCTTCGCCACCTTGATTTTCAGAGTTAGTATGATACTTTTGCATTGCTTGACAATACATGAGGCTGCAAATCTGGTCTGATTCTTCAGCTGGCCTTACAGACCAGCTAGTCCATGCAGCAGCTGTCTTGGCTGAAGCATTGCTGTACTTTGTTTGCCCCTTACTTCTGGAGCAGCAGCTTGAGATGCTTCTTGTTTTGGCACGCGTTGAGGTAGCCCCAGCATAGCCAAGAGTTCATTTAGGGAGGAAACCGGAACGTAGCCAGTCATGCAATCAATAGATATAAAAGCTGGCATTATACTGTCTTGATTTTTACAGTGTCATAAGAAACGGGCTTACTAATTATATTGCGTGTATAGCATTTGAAATACTACCTCATTGCTATGCATTATAGCCAAGACCAAGGATGTCTTTGCAGACATGGGAGATTTTATGAAAGCATAATGGAAAGAGTATCAGATTCTATTACTCGAAAGACTGCAGTGACACATCAGTATCAAAAGTAGTTGTAGCCCCATTATGGAGGCTCTTCAGACAGCACAATAAAAATAGGGATTAGGTGGGAAGAATTTCTAGAAACTAAAGTAAAAGGATTTAGAACAGTAAGTAAAAGGATTTAGAACAGTATGTGGTTTATTTACTAACGGACTTGAAAATAACAGTAATACAGCAGGAGAGGATGTGGGCTATAAAGCTAATTATAAATTTTAGTTTTTAGTGACCTTATAGCAGTTCCAGTCTTAACCCAAAGCAATCAAATAGAGAAAAGATTAAATATTGCATGTTGATATGCAGACAGAGCTGCTGCAAGGTGATCTACTGTAATTGAGATCACAGCTGGATGTGTCAGCTAGAATGACTAGATCACAGCTAGAAAAGTCAACGTCAAAAATAATGTTTACTTACCTGTATAAGTGAACTGATTCTCCTACAAGAATTGCTTTATTCTTCATTTTTATGTATAGAGCTGTCCCTCAAGTGCTTCAAACCGCTGACTTTAGCAAGCTTAAGGAATAGCTTTATGGCCTCAGTGTTCCCCCTAATTGTTTTTTCATTTTCTGGGCCCTAGCCTCTTCCTGCAAGCTGGCATAGTGGGCCTGTCTTCCCTGTACTTCTGCTGTTTTGGGCAATGCTTTTGTCCAGGGGTTGAAGAAGCAGGTTAGTGGTTTTCATGCGAAAAGTGCTCCTACCCTAAACTTTAAAAATTCTCTATTTATTGCAGCTAATTCAAATTTCCAAACTTACTTTCTGTCTCTAATTAAGAACTCTAGCAAAAACACTGCCTCAGTGCAAAAGATGTCCACCAAATCATAAGTCTATGATTATGATCTTTGTGATATTCAGCCTAGAGACCTTGGATGTTTAAGGAAATTAAAATCAGATTCCACAGCATATGTTTGCAGCGCTCCCATTGTAAGGCTGGCTATACATGTACAGTAATGATCTTCCCAGCTCTGGTCAGCCCATCAGTTTTTCAAATGGTATTCTTCAAAAGACAACAGTTGCTTGCTAATCTCATTTTTGTGGGAACCACAATTCTTGTTGAAGAAAACACAGAGATTTTAAGATAATCATCTATTTGGAATTGGTCTCATATATATATATAGATATGCTCAAAATACCAATTGGTACAAAGAAATGTGTGAAAGGACGACCATTCTGCTGTTAAATGTTTACTGCCTCTCTAGAGGTGCTGGACACCCAGAACTTCTTGATTCGAAGGGGGCTACAAGAAGTCTGCATATAAAGAGTTTAGATGCAAAGCTTTAGGCATTTGTATTCGGAAAAAAAATGGCTCACATTTGTGGAGAAAGGCAGTTTGTAAATGTCTTTAAGCACCAGGTAAGTAAAAGAAAGGCAACCATGGAAGTGTGAATAGACTTTCACTGTAATGATAAATTAGGACCTTGCCAGAATAGAGATGAGATGTGAAGAGAGAGGCAGCCATGAATGGTGCTCTAAACAAAGATTTTCATTATCCTGGGTATTCTCCAGGATAATGGAATCTCTGAAAAATTAGGAGATTAAAATATAATGTAACTTCACTGATGTGGTGAACAGTGTTCATTCTAATTACTTATCAATGTTTTTGGCAATGAAAATATGTTTGACATTATTCAAGCACCAGCAGGTATTTGCCCATTGTTTACTTTTAAAACAATAATCAAACTGTGATTTGAGTTTACCCAATGTCCAGGATAGAACATTTGGGTAGAGTAAGTTATCTTTCAGGTGGGTTAGCCAAGCTTTGTGAACAAGGAATGTCCAGCAATTTACTTTGTGCTTATGTTGTTACAGCCAGAATCAAAAATTCTTTTTTAGCTTTACTAGTATTGTCTAAAGTTAGAAAATATTTCATTTTTGAAAAAAACAAAACAAACAAAAAACTAACTCCGTTATATACATTAGCAGTTCTCAACCATGTCTGCTGCTTTAATTGTCTTTGTCAAACTACCTTTTCCTTGCTTTGCTTCAGAACTCTTTCTTTCTCATTAAAGACAAGGTTTCCTCTTTCAGAAAAGAGCACAGAAAGTTCATGACTTGTATTTTGCAAATGGATGCAGATTTTTTCAAGGCAGTGTGATTTAAAAATGTTTTATATGAATAAATTAATAAAGGCTAGGTCACCTAGTATTGTTAAAATATGCAGTGATCAT